TCATAAAAACGCCATAGTTAGTTAGGCATAAAAATTCATAAAAACTGAAGTGGAGAAGGACATGAAAAAAGTCATAAAAAACGTCATAGTATAGTATTTAGGTCATAAAAATCGTCATAGTATTAGTAAAGGCATAAAAAAGTCATTAAAACTCATAGTTATAGCAAGGTATCAAAAGCATAAAAAAACCATATGGTATAGTAAAAGAGCAGAGAGTTTAATCAGTCATAGAGTAATGTAAGTCATAAAAAACGCCATAGTCTATAGTAATGGCATTAAAAAGTCATAAAAACGTTCATAGTATAATAATAGTCATTAAAACGCCTGTATAGTGCATAAAAGATTATATAAGCATATTATATAAGGCATAAAAAGCCATAAGTAATATATTAAGGCATAAAAATTCAATAAAACGTCATGTATAGTAAAACGATAGTATAGTGGCTATAAAAAAGTCATAAAATGTCATGTATATAGTAAGCGCATAAAAAGTCATTGAAAAAGCGTCATAGTATTAGTAAGCGATTAGAAAAGTCATAATAAACGTCATAGTTAATTAGTAAAGTGCATAAAACAAAATGAATACATCAGTATATAAAAAGGACATATGAAAGTTACATCATAAAAAAGACGTCATAGGTATTATAGTAAAGGGCATAAATAAGTGTCATATATAAACGCTGTAATGTAAGGCATGAAAAGGTCATAAAAACTGTCATTGTTAGTTAAGGCCCATAAAAGTCTAAACAAGTCATGTATAGTAAATAGCATAAAAATCATAAAAAGTCCAGTGTATGTAAAGGCAGAAAACGTCAAAAAAACGTCATAGTTAGATAAGTCATAAAAACGCCATAGTATAGTATAGCATGAAATCATACAAAAATAGTCTAGTAGTATAAAGTATAAACAAGTATAGCATAAAACAAATTCATAGTATAGTAAGTAACTATATAATGGTGCAATAAGCATAATATAGTATACAGAGGCATAAAAATTCATAAAACGTCATAGTTAGTAAGGAAAAGCATAAAAAAAGTCATTAGAATTAAGCGAACTATAAGTATAAATAAGTGGCATAAGAACGCCATTGAGTATAGTAAAGGCTAAAAAGTCATAAAACGCTAGATAGAATAAAGTCATAAAAACGCATAGTATAGTTAGGCATAAAATATCATAAAAACGCCATAGTATATTAAAAGCAAGGAAAAAATTCATAAAAAACGTCATAGTTATAGTAAAGGCATAAAACGTCATAGTATAGTAAGGCATGAAAAAGTGCATAAAAACGCCATAGATATGTTTAGGCATAAAATTCATAAAAAAACGCCTAGTATTTTAAGGCCAAGAAAAAATTCATAAAAACGTCATAGATGTATATGTAAGGCATAAAACGTCATAGTATAGTAGGCATGAAAAGTTTCATAAAAAACGCCATAGGTATAGTTAGGCATAAAAAATTCATAAAAAACGTCCATAGTTATAGGTAATGTATAAAAATCATACAAAACGTCATAGAATAGTAAGGCATAAAAAGTCATTAAAACTTCCATGTTATTAGTAAGGCAATAAAAAGTTCATAAAAACGCCATAGTTATAGTTAGGGCATAAAATGTCATAGATATAGTTCCAAGGCATGAAAATCAATAAAAAGTCATAAAGAAACTCAAATAGCTATAGTAAGGTAATAAAAAGTCATAAAAACGTCATAGTATAGTAAGGCATAAAAAGTCATTAAAAAACGCCATAGTTATGGAAAGCATTTGAAAAAGTCTGTTTTAAAAACGTCATAGTATAGTAAAGGCATAAAAAACAAAAATTGTATACTAATGCATTAAAAATTCATAAAAAACGACAGTGGTAGAAATGTCAATAAAACATCATAAAAAACGTCATAGTATAGTAAGGCATAAAACAGTCATAGGTATTTAGTAAGGCAATAAAAACGACAGTGTAGAAGTCATAAAAATGTCATAGATTTATAGTAAAGGTTCATTTAAAAAACCAGAAATTGTATACTAATGCCATAAAAAATTCATAAAAACGCACCCAGTTGTAAGGAAAAGTCAATAAAACAATCATAACAAACGTTCATAGTATAGTTAAGGCAAATAAAACGTCATAGTATAATAAGTCATAAAAAAGTCATAGTATAGTAAGGCAATAAAAATTCATAAAAAAAACGTTCATTAGTATAAGTAAGGTATAAAAAGTTCATTAAAAAAAGTCATCATAGATATATTAAGGTAGAAAACTTCATAGTATTAATAAGGCATAAAAATTCATAAAACGGTTTTCATAGTATTAGTAAGGCAATAAAATTCATAGTATAGTAAGGCATGAAAAAAGTCATAAAAAACGTCATAGTATAGTTAGGGCATAAAAAGTCATAAAACGTCATAGTATTAGTAGCATGAAAAGATCATAAAAAACGTCATAGTATAGTAAGCATAAAACGACAGTGTAGAAAGTTCATAAATAAACATCCATAGCTATAGTAAGGCATAAAAATTCATAAAAACGTGCATAGTATTTAGTAAGGCATAAAAAGTCATTTTAAACGTCATAGTATAGTAAGGCATAAAAACGTCATGTAGTATTAGTAAGGCATGAAAAGTCATAAAAATACGTCATAGTATAGATAAGCAATAAAAAATTCATAAAAACGTCATAGTATTGTAAGCCGTATAAAAAGTCATAAAAAACGTCATATTATTAGTAAGGCATAAACACCGTCATAAGTACTATTAGTAAGGCATGAAAAGCTCACTAAAAATGTCATAGCTATAGTAAGGCATAAAAAAAGTTCATAAAAAACGCCATCAGTATAGTGTATTAGTTAGGCATAAAATGTCATAGGATAGCTAAGCATGAAAAAGTCATAAAAAGTCATAATAAATATATTCATAGTATAGTAAGCATGAAAAGTCATAAAAAACGTCATAGTATAGTAAGGCAATAAAAACGACAGTGTAAAGAAAGTCATAAAAAATTCATTAGTATTAGTAAGCATAAAACGTCAGTTAGTATAATAAGTCATAAAAAACATTCATAGTATAATTAAGGCAGAAAAAATTCATAAAAACGTCATAGTATAGTAAGGCAGTATAAAACGTCATAGGGCTAAATATAGTAAGGCATGAAAAGATCATAAAAAACGTCAAGCTATAGTAAGGCATAAAACGTCATAGTATATAAGCGTATAAAAACAGTCATAAAAACGTCAAAGTATTAGTAAGGCTAAAACGTCATAGTATAGCTCACATCACACACAATTCATAAAACGTCATTAGATAGTAAAGGTATAAAAAGTCATAAAAACGTCATATTTTTATAGTAAGGCATAAAACGTCATAAAAATTCATAGTATAGTAAGGCCATAAAAAGTCATAAAAACGCCATAGTTAAGTTAGGCATAAAATGTCATAGTAATTAAGTAAGGCATTGAAAAGTCATAAAAAGTCATTAGTATAGTAAAGGCATAAAAAACGAAGCTGTTGAAAGTCTAAAACATCATAGTATAGTTAAAGCATAAAACGTCATAGTATAATATCATAAAATTCATAGTATAGTAAGCCAATAAAAATTCATTTAAAAACGTTCAATAGCTATAGTAAGTATAAAAAAGTCATAGTATATTAAGGCAGAAAAAACTTCATTAGTATAATAAGGCATAAAAATTCATAAAAAACGTCATTTAGTATATAAGCATAAAAAATGTGCATAGTATAGTTAAGGCATAAAAGTCATATAACAAACGTCATAGGTATTAGTTATGCATAAAAAGTCATAAAACGTCATAGTATTAGTAAGGCATAAAAAAACGACAGTGTATAGACAAGCCTTACTATACTATGACGTTTTTATGACTTTTTATGCCTTACTATACTATGACATTTTTATGACTTTTCATGCCTTACTATACTATGACGTTTTATGCCTTACTATACTATGACGTTTTTATGAATTTTTATGCCTTACTATACTATGACGTTTTTATGACTTTTTATACCTTACTATACTATGGTGTTTTTATGAATTTTTATGCCTAACTATACTATGGCGTTTTATGACTTATTATACTATGAAGTTTTTTTGACGTTTTCTGCCTTACTATACTGTGACGTTTTTATGACTTTTTATGCTTTACTATACTATGACGTTTTTATGACTTTTTATGCCTTACTATACTATGACATTTTTATGACTTTTCATGCCTTACTATACTATGATGTTTTATGCCTTACTATACTATGACGTTTTTATGATGTTTTATGACTTTCTACACTATGTCTTTTTATGAATTTTTATGCATTAGTATACAATTTTGTTTTTATGCCTTACTATACTATGACGTTTTTATGACTTTTTATGCCTTACTATACTATGACGTTTTTATGACTTTTCATGCCTTACTATACTATGACGTTTTTATGACTTTTTATGCCTTACTATACTATGACGTTTTTATGACTTTTTATACCTTACTATACTATGACGTTTTTATGAATTTTTATGCCTTACTATACTATGACATTTTTATGACTTTTTATGCCTTACTATAATATGGCGTTTTTATGAATTTTTATGCCTAACTATACTATGGCGTTTTATGACTTATTATACTATGACGTTTTTATGACTTTTTATGCCTTACTATACTATGGCGTTTTATGACTTACTGTACTATGACATATTTATGACTCTTCATGCCTTACTATACAATGGTTTTTTATGCCTTACTATACTATGACGTTTTTATGACTTTTTATGCTTTACTATACTATGACATTTTATGACTTATTATACTATGACGTTTTTATGACTTTTTATATCCTTACTTTACTATGTTGTTTTTATGTCTTACTATACTACGACGTTTTATGACTACTTATACTATGACGTTTTTTTGACGTTTTCTGCCTTACTATACTATGTTTTTGACTTTTCATGCTTTACTATGGTATGTCATTTTTATGACTTTTCATGCCTTACCTTACTATGACATATTATGACTTATACTATGACGTTTTCATGAGTTTTTATGCCTTACTATTTCGTTTTTTATGCCTTACTATACTATGACGTTGTATGACTTATTATACTATGACGGTTTTTTGACGTTTTCTGCCTTACTATACTATGACGTGGTATGACTTATTATACTATGACGTTTTTTTGACGATTTCTGCCTTACTATACTATGATGTTTTTATGAATTTTTATACCTTACTATACTACGACGATTTTATGACTTTTTATGCCTTACTATACTATGACATTTTATGCCCTATCATACATTGACATTTTTATGACATTTTATGCCTTACTATACTATGGCACTTTATGACCTAATATAGCATGACGTTTTATGCCTTAAAATATTATCTTTTTAAGAAGTTTTATTCTTTACTACAACATGGCATGTTAAGCTTGCTACAATAAGACATTTTTATGACGTATGCTGCTTTAGTATACAATGACATTTCTATGACATCTTATGTCTTACTATACTTTTACCTTTATATACCATTATATGTCTTAGTATTGTATGCGTTTTTCTTACATTTTATGCCTATCACGTTTTCACTTTTATCTATACTAAGACTTTTTCACGCCTTACTTTACATAAATACATATATGCATGCATGTATTAAAGGGATTTGTTTTTGATTTGGTTACCATTAATGAAACAATGTGTTAATAGCTTAACAGCACACATGTCACACTGCCATCTAAGCTGTTAAAGAAGGTGCAACTACATCATATGTCAAGAACTCCAAAATCTGCCCCTTTAAGAATAATTTGATGTCATTCAGAACTTACCCGATGTTGTCCACGTTGGCCATCATGAGTTAAAAGCCCTGCAGATGTTAAACATTGGACAGGGTAAAACAAATGATGGCTTTAAAAATAATTTGTTGTTGTTGGCGGTAGTGTACATGTGGCATTTACCTGAATGCTGCTTTGAAACACTTTCTTCCCTGCAGTTGAAGTTGACTGGTGTCAAAATCTGTAAGATGCCAGACTGAGTAGAACATGAACGTAAACGATTCTTTGGGCAGTGAATGTAGCTGTGTACATGCACAATCAAAGATTGTTTAATGTTTCTAATTTACATTGTCAATATCAATATTACAGAGAGGATTTTGTGACATTTGATTTCAAACTCAATGTTTGATCCTGATTTTTTGTACACGACCTCAGACTCTGCTCAGAAGGCCGACAGAACAGAAACAAACAACAAAAAACGTGTAAAGTTTGATTTATTTTGTGAACAGTTATTTATGGGATGTATAGATTGTCATTTTTGATTGACAATAAACTGTGTTTACCATGATTTGCTGCTGTATGTTTACTGTATCACTGGGTTAGAGAGAAATCCAGGCTTAGCTGACAGGTCTGACAGGCAAAAAGTTCAACAAGATCTGAGATATGACCGTGTGTGTAGTGCACAAACCACCAAGAGAAATACTTTCAGCATTAGATTTGTTGTTTGAGTGTGTGTGTTCATGCATGTACAAGCCACAGACATCAGGACATAGAGGATAGTGAACATGTATCTGTCTATTACAAGTGGATAATCTGGCACCAAGGCTGAGTTTACACTGGCAGAAAAGTGGCACAGCTCATGACTCTATATCCAAGACGCATCTTAAAAAGGTGCATTTGGGGCAGTTTATCATTTATTTGTCCATTAATTTGAACTTGGAAGAAACCAAATAACTGTTCTTTCTAAGACAACAGTAGTTTGGTTAATGAGAATACAACCCAAAAAAAACACTGCAAACAAGCCCAAAAACATGAGGTTTTACACGTGTAAGAAGACAAATTGTTTAAGGATTTAAAGCCAACAGTTCTTTGCACCTGGAAAGCTACGAGTAACAAAACAAGGAAGTTCTGGACTGATGCTCATATTCAGCCCTTTCCTCCCCTTGTATTCACTGGGGAAGATGCATAAATTACAGCAAAGAATGCTGATGACTCCATCATGTTAAAGTTAATAGTGTGTGGATAACCGGCCACCAAGACTCTGTCCACTCACAAACCTGGATTTACTAATGGAGGGCAAAACTAAACCTAAACAAAGCAAATATAACAATGCAGATATAGTTTAACTCTGTTTAGACATTCTGCAGAAGGTGTTTGTCAAAGTTAACAGTAACAACATTAGCAGAATTATGTTTTGTTGTACAGTCTATGTGTAAGTACTTAGGATACCATTTATTAGGGAAAGAGTCACTCACTCACTCACATACGTACATATGCTAATGTAATTATGGCCGCACACATACAATAAGCATGTTACAAAAGTACAGCTGAGCCTGACGGTTCATTTGTCATTAACCTTAAGTGTATACTGTGTGTGTACAGTAAATGAGCATTAGGTTAAATTTGAATGGCTTTTCTTCTACTTTGCATTTCCAAGTAATATGATTCTTTATAATATTAACAACACTGTTAACATGGTTTACAAAGAGATGTTGGCTGGTCAACAACAATTAGCAAGTAATATTAAAATGTTAGAACTGCCAGGAGCCCAGTTTGCAAGGTATTACATTAACACTTTAACCTTTAGCTTTTAGAGATTATATCAGTCCAATTTAGTATTATACATTTTAGCTAATGTGTTTTTTCAGTTTTGCTGATGCTAGGTCAACTGATTTTTCCTTTATGGTAAAGACGACAGATCTGTGCCACCTCATATTGTATAAATTCAGCCTAAGCTCAACCAGATGAACTTAAAAGAAAAATTATTTTAACAGTCATTTTGTAAAAAGGCCACAAACGGGGCGTAGTGGTCTAAGCAGGCGCCCCATGTGTAGAGGCTACAGTCCTCGCTGCAGTTGGCCCCGGTTCGAGTCCCGCATCGGACGGCCTTTGCTGCATGTCATTCCCCCTCTCTCTGCCTCCCCATTTCCTGTCTCTCTACTGTACTATCAAATAAAAGGCATAAAAAAAGCCCCAAAAAATATATAAAAAGGCCACAAACTGCTGCTTCTTGACTCCACTGACACTTAAGGTTTGTACAAAGAGAGTAGAAAAATCCTGGATGAACAGGCACCGATTAAAACACCAAAGTACACAGTAGCAGTGAAGGAGAAAAATACACCACGGTGTGATAGAAAACACTGCCCTTTTCAGCTGTAGGACCAACAACCCTTATGGAAATAGATACTAACTGTGTGGACCACATGCACCTGTATAACTCACTGTAGATGGTTTGTGGATGGCTTGTTCTGGATGTTACATCAAGGTGAAAAAAGAGATACAAATACTGCATATCAAAAAAGAGCACAAACTGACTGGCAGAGGTTCAGCTATGTCCTCAGAAACTGTAGTGCACATTCACAAGAAATATTTACGAACACAAAATATACATTCGATCAAAAAACGTTTCTTTTTTTTGTTTTTCCAAAGACTAAAAACATCTCAACAAGAGAAAAAAAGCTTTACCTCACAACAGCACTTGGGTTTTGTTTTGTTTTTTATGTTTTTTTTTTTTTAAGCCTTTTTTTTGTTTCCTTTTCTTGATCTTTGGGAGACGGAAAGGTGTCAAGGTTCAGTCTCAGTCTGTCTCTGTTAGTCCCGTCATCCCTGCAAGGTGGATTCCATGATAATTCGATCAGCGATGATGCAGTGTGTTGCACCCACAGAGGGATCCCCATCCTGTGCATCCACTGACCACTGCTCCGGATAGATATAACTGTGAGCAAAGTAATTACAGTCAGTTACTAGAGGTGAATAAATTAGCACATTTACTCACAGTTGGACACCAAGTATTTCTACCTTTCTCCAACAGCTTTAAATATGAGAAAAATATTTTCTTTTACTTCTTTACTCATTTATTTTATCTAAATCTCTCTATTACCCGATCTTCTTCCTTTCCTTTTAACCCTTCATAACCACCTTTTTCTTTCCTTCATTCCTTATTTTCTTCCCTCCTTACATTTGTCCTTACTACCTTTCTTCCTTTTCTCATTTCTTTACTTCTTTTCCTCCTACCCTCATTTTTCCTCTGCCCCCTCCCCTCTACCTTTCTTTATCCATCTGTCTTTCCTTCTTTCCCTACAGTCCCTTTTCTTTCAGTCCTTGTTCCCTTCTTTCCTTTATTCACATTTTTCTTTCCATCTTTCATTTCCTTCCTTGCTACTTTTCTATTCCTTTGTTCTGTAATTTTGTTTTACCTTCTTTACTTCCCTTTCTTCCTTTCTTTCCTCTTCTCCTTCCATCTGCCCTTGTTTTTTCCTTTTTTCTTTGCAATTCTGCTTTTCCTCCTTGTGTTTTTACTTCTTTCCCTTTTGCATTGCTTCTCTCCTTCCCTATTTCCCTGTCTCACTTGTTTCTTTCCTTTTATCTTGTCCTTACCTCCTTCATCTGATCCGAGAGCGTAGAACCCCTGTAAACTAGAGATATGAATCTCTCACCTCAGAATCAGATTCTTGTCCTCTTGACTATGATACTGTTAGTACTGCTTACTGGAATTTCCTTCCTGGCTTTACTGCTTTGAGTTTTCTAAAGAGTCAGAGTTTCTCTTTCACCCCGTGAACTTACTCGTTGCTGTCCATGTGAGCCGCCATGAAATTTTGTGATGGAGGTGTGGACAGCAGGGGTACAGACTGCAGGTGTGTGTCCAGGATCGGGGCTTCAGCTGGTCTGTGTGGAGGCACAGTGGTGTGGTCGGCATCAGTGGCGGTCTGGTCCGAGCCAGGCTGCAGGTGAGACGAAGGTGGGGGGTATTGGTGCTGGTCAGAGTAAATGTCAGAGCTCGGTGAGGCTGATGTTTGACTGCTGCTGCTGGATGTGTTGGCGTCCAACATCTCCAGAAGGAGGTCGTACACCAGCACCACATTCTTCCTCTTCATGGTGGAAAGGTGGTCCATGCCTTTGTTACTGCAGAGAGAGGAGAGATGACAATGAACCTACTGCACACAGCTAATGCTGTGCTAAGACACTGCACACCGATGACACTGCACACAGCTAATAAAAACTGTCTTGGCTCCCTTTATCAAAGGTCTGAAATCAGCTCACAACTAAGATGTTTTATTACCTAAACATGGCTAACAGACTTTTGTCATAGCGTTTGTCATATTTTAACACATTTCACAGGATCACATGATAGATGACATACAATAGATTTTTTTTAAGCCTAATTATTTTAACTTTAGGCTCATAAAAGCCTCTAATAATCACTGGATAATAATGTCAAAAATTCATTATTTTGAAATTTAAATACATTTTGTGTACTATATCAACCTTTATAGTCCCATCCAAGGACTATAAAATCAAGTGTAGTGTCTGTATGTATTTATTTCTATGTGATTGTACACAAACCTGTTGAGCATGAGTATTAATGTGCGCATTAATACGCTGAGAGTGGACTAATAAAGAACACATTGGCAAGAGTCTAAATATGTCCTGCTCCAGCATGCTTTTTCAATTATCTTTCTGCTGTTGTGTCACCGTTTCCTGTTGTCTCGGTCTGTACCTCATGTGGCGGATATGGGAGAGCAGCATGGTGAGGCGTCCGAGGCGCAGAGACTGTTGCTGGGTCGTCAGCCCCAGTTTGGAAATGGCCCAGACCAAAGCATCAATCACTGAGTCTAACAGACGAAGCATCTTGTTCCTGCTCTCCAGCTCCTCAGCTGTCTGAGGGGAACTCGTACACAGATCTGAAACAAACAGCATAATTGATATCGACCTTTTATGAATCATTGTATATCAGCGATTTATGTCGCCCAGCTCAGTATATCAAAAGTTTCTCCATGATCACAGACATGAGGATATAAATTAATAAAATTAATGTTACCTGCAACTATTATTTAAAATTTCATTCCAGAAGCTTCTACACTTTGTCTTGGTCCCTTGAGGCTGAAATGTTCACACTCCACAACACAAAAATGTTGGCCTGAATAAACCTAAATAAACACAAATTAAATGAAAATCTAACAATAGTGAAATTTACTGAAGGTGTGGTGATAGAAAATACTGTGATTCATCCTCTGGAGACCATAAATACCTGCGGCAGATTGAAGTGACATATGGCCATTCCTTTTTGAGACACCTGGCATGGACCAAAGTGCAAAGGGAATTTTTTGGCCTAATAATGAAGCTAGAGGAAACCTCAGGCTGCCACCAGAGTAATTCGAAATCAATATTTAGGTCCCACTGGAAGTGAGGAAAAAATTAGAGGATTAATAATGGATTTGAAACTCATTCACAGACATAGACTAGTCCAGCAAATACATTTATTGTCTTTTATATTTGGCTGTTGTAATTTCTGCAGTTTCTTTGAATGAAGCCTTTATATTCTGAGTCCATTTACAAAACACTGTCAGCTACATGTTGTACATAAAGTAGTTGGTAAATTCTTGATATGTGAAATTTAAGTGACGATTCTAATGGTACGCATTTTCCTTAAAAAAAATAAAAAATAAATAAATAAATAAATAAAAATCTGTAAATCACCCTGTCCACCCACCACCAGGACTGAGGACACAAAGAGCAGTTACGCCACAACATTCAATCTGTCCAGAATCATGAATCTTAAAATTCCTCTCTGCTCATTTGACTTTTCAAACTCAATTTCACTTCTTGCACAATTTGTTCTTTTTTTTCCAGCCCAGCTGCAGTGAGGCAGTCAACAGAGAAAGAGTCTGTCAGATGACCCTGTACGTGTTTGTGTGTATCAGAGGAACTTTGTTAAACTATATGAGGACACGCACAGAGGTCCCTCACCTCGACGAAACCTGTACAGTGTCTGCTGGTGGTTGTGCGTGAGCTGGGACAGGGAGAGGACACCGTGACCGCTGGGAGCATGTGAAAGGCAAAAAAAAACAAAAAAAACAACCAAAAGCCGCTCTGCAATAAAGTCCATCTTCACAGGTTGTATCATCCAGACTTTTTTCAATTTCAGAGAAAAGGTCAGCCAATGCAACTTCTATGGGAGGATCACCAACACCTTTAACCATGTTGATGATTAAAAACCACATCCAAACGCCTAGTGTGGTGTAACCCTGGTGTGCAGTGCTTACAAAGGCTGTTAAGTTGTCAAATGGTTTTTATCATCCTGGAAAATATTCAATTTCTATAAACTTTAAACCAGTAAAATAGTAGAAAACTTAAAAGCACTGAGGAAAAGTACATCTGTGTCACAGTCACAAAGCTCTAAATGAGTTATGTCCTGCTGATGTTTTTGAGAACAATGAATCCTGGAGGTATTAGGACTTTGTACAAAACTAAATCCTGCCTTGTTTCACTGAGTCAGACTTATTACCACTAAGTTGTGACTTTTTAAATTCAACAAGTTTCTGTAGCCCCACCTATAGCCACAATGTCATCAAGTTAATTTGGTTGCAACTGCACAAAACACTTCAAAAAATAACTTTGATATCCGTCAAAGAGGCCACACATACTGTAAAAGTATAATCAAGCATTATTAAAAACCCTATTGGCAGGGTTGTGTTCTGATAGCCGGTTCCATCTTGGATCAGGTTCCTGTTTGGCTAAAAACACAGATTTACTAAACTCACATGGTAACACATCTGTAATGAAACCCTCTCCTCTCTCTCTCCTCTCTTTTTTATTAGTAAAGAGAAATGCAGTAAACATTTGATACTTCTTGTGTTTAGCCAAAGCTGACAAACATCACCAGCAGCAGATTTTATCACCGTCAGCTTCTAAATCTTAAACCCGTAACATCTAAGCTGACCAATACCCCCCCATCTAAGCTGGTGTTATTTATGAAGGAACAGAAACAACACTTTGTAAAAATCACTATACAAACCAGGTGGACCGTGTTTTCATAGTTGAACAGGACCAACAGAGTCTTCACTAAAGAAATGATCAAGACACTCATGTAAATAGAATTTAAGAAAATCTCTTAGATCCTCATAATATTCTCAGACTATCAGCTTCTACATGGAGACCTCACAGATTTAGAGCAAGTAGTTAAACAAAAATGTGTCTAAAACATACAGTATTTAATCAGTGTTTCATATTTGTTGTTGTAGCTCCAGTTTGTAAACATAGGATACGCTCTCAATGGTTTAAAGTTTGTCTTAAAACAATATCAACACTGAAACATGCTTTGCTGACTGTGATCAAATTAATGCAGTTTTGTAATTTTGGAAGAAGTCTGACTGTTGAAGCCTCATCCTAACTTAATATATTAACATATTAACTAACAGTAAACCAGATAAACTTGAGCAAATGCTTTACACAAAACAAGGACTGTGGAGTTTGTCCCCCATCACTTACACTGACAGGGAAATTAGGAAGTGATCTGTTAGAGCAAAGCCTGTTCCGATCTCCATCTACTGTTGTGAACCTGTCTTCTCATTATGCTTCCATCAAAATATTATTAGACATCTCTGAGCTTCAGTTGTTCATAACTTTATTCAGTAATAATCGCTAAAAGCTGAACCTCAATAAGCAGATTCAATACTGAATGTTGCTGTCTAACCCCAACCCAAAGTATATGATATCAAAAAAATGTAGAACTTTTTTTAAGGGGCCATGTGAATATGTGTTTTGGGCTGAAAAAAAAAGAAAATCACTTTAAAAGCTGATATTTGTTGTTTTTGCTCTGGTGAGATTAGTTTTATCATGTAGGTCAGATAAGTGACATGTGTCATTGACTCACTCAGTTAAAGATTATTGTTTCAATAACCACAACAAGGCATACAGACAAACTTATCTGTGTTATGTAAGAACCATAAACACACACACAGACATACACACGGTACTGACTGGACAGGATAAAGCAGGATTCGTGGCTCGCTGAGAAGCTAACTCATCTTTCTCAGGGGCAGTAAAGCGAAAAAGCACTCACTCGAGTTGAGCAGGATCATGGCCTTCAGACAGACGTACTCCTCTCTCCGAAGCTTCAGCTCGCGAAACCGAGAGGTGGCTGCCAGTAGCATGTCGAAAATCTCCATGATGCCCTCCACGCACTGCCCCTCCTCCCTGTACAGGCAAGAAACAACACCGAGAAAACCGCACCTTGAATCACTTTGCTTATGCAACTATTACAATCACAAGTGACATGGAACATTAAAACAGAATAAAAAGGAAACTAAAATGAATACAGCATCATAAAAATAAAAACGATAAGGATAGCATACTGAGATGAGGAAAAGAAACAGAGAAAAAAGAAGCCAATATGACTGTGATGTTTAAAATACTTACAAGTTGACAGCATTGCTTGTCACCTGGTATCCCAACCAAATGTACTTTATGTATTAGTTTACTGTTAGTTTTATGAGCTGGAAACGCCATTACACCATTAAACGCCCAATATTTAGGAATGGTACTGCCCCCATTTCAAGTGACACTCCTCCACCTTATCAAACAGTCTACATGGTAAATGATCTGGAGCTAAAGTGTGCCACAGAGGTGATGCTGGTGCAGAGGAGGCTGTCCATTAGCCTTGTGTCAGTTCTGACAGAATTCAGTAACTGTGGCTTCTGTAGCTGAATCTTGGTCAGATTTCATTTTTCTCCTTTTGTACTACTCTTCTCTGTTTTCATGTTAACAATGTATATATACATGTTAAACTCAGCGGCGTGCTGTGACATTTGCTGACAGGCGAGCAGAGCTAAGCAGGGGAGGGTTGAGGAGACGTAGCATTTATTTACTCACAAATAGCCCATACAGTGTACATACATCCCACTGTATGTTGACAGCTAGCCTACTGCTAACTACTAACTAGCTAACTCTCGATTATGGTCACCAGCATCACCGCTCTCTCTCGCTCTACGCACACAACCTACGTACTGAGCTACTCCTGTAAGGAGCTGCGCTACTTGTGTAACAATATTCTCTCAAACTTACTGCGGATCTTGCACAGAGATAATAATTCAGGGTAATTTGTTCATTTACTTGCCACTGCTGACTCTTAACACGTCTCCGCATGTGTGTACTACCGCAATATCACAACTGATCTCCGAACGGCAAGTTCACTTCGGCTATCGCGAGGCAACCGTTAAAGAGCCGTCGTCAAATGCGCATGCGCACACATTAAAGAAGGTACGCTGTCCTGTCCAATTGACAACACCCAGAGACATACAACAGCTGGAGGCCAAGCTAGCTTCTAGAGACAATACCCTGCTGCCACCACGAGGGGCGGTAAATTACATGATGAATGCAAACAGGAATCAGATCCTTTACGAGACAGAAGAAAGCTGCTCTGAGGTCAGATATAAGTAGAGATATCACTTCCACTTCAGTATCGCTTTAATTGATGTCAATTTTTAGCTTTAACTAGGCAAACACTACTGACCTTGCTTTTCCTGACGCCACCCCACTGGTAATACTGCACAAAGGACAAATACTGATGTAGTTGTACCTCTGTCAGATATTGTTATTTTTTAACCCTCTTAATTCCTCTATGTTAATGTACAGCAAGTTACTGAACCAAGGCACCCACCTCCATCCAACCACTGACTTTTTTTTTGTGGTATGTCTGTCTAAGTTACTGTTTTAATTGTGTTTCATTCACCAATGTTATTGTCTTGTGAGGTCTGATTGTTTGCTGTACTTGGTTATATGTTCTATGTATTTAGGGTGAATGGGAATAAAATTAAAAAATGTAATAATTTTGGTAACAAAACACTACTTGTTGTTAGCCTAATAATTGCAAAAAACTCTAGAGCTGCAGGTGTTAAATTTAAAAGGAACAGGACTAGGTTAAGATATCGTACTGCCGCTGAAATCAAAACATATTAAACAATACCCAGCCCTACTGTCTGCATTGTCCTGGTAGGCAGGCGTGTTACACGCTTAATAACACTGCAGCTTATTAGTTCACACACATCACTCACAAATTGAATCTAAGTGTGTTGCTGCTGCGGTTATTTTGATCGCAACAACACATCAAAGATGCAAAATACACTCAAGAGGATCTGGATCCGACCACGAGCTGTGATGTAAATTTATGCGGTGAACTGCAGATTGGGGGTGAAACAATCCCTCCTCAGATTCCTCACTTCTGCTCCCAAAACAATAATCCAAGTGTTGATTGGCTACAAAAACATTAACTATGGTCCTGTTATCTGCCAAAACCTTACACCTCCGACTTGTCAAATTCTGTTGTTGAGACACCAATAGCTTCCAACTAGGTTAATTCACACAGTGGCAACTGTTCAAAATGTTACACATAAAAAAAAAAAAGGAAGGAGTGAGTAAAAAACCACAAGGCTAAATAAGTTAAATAGTGACTGTGAAAGAAGATGGTAGCAGAGAGAGAGAGTGCACGGAGATCAAGAAGGCAGAAAGAGAGAAGAGAAAATGATTCTGCTCCGTCTGAGCCTTTTGTTGAGCAACTGGATGGATTCGCATCCAGGATGTTTTCCCCAGAGGTCCAAGGAGAAAGGGCTAACACAGGTTAACAGAGACCACTCCACAGAGAAAAATAAGGCTGTGTTGTGAAAACATATCAAGGTTAACCTAAGCCTATAGTGATAGTTTCCGTGGTAGTGGGGGAAGAAAGGTCAAACACTAACTCAACCCACCAGACCAGAGCGTCTAGAGGAAGACGGTCTCCAGCGTTCTCCCCTCTGTCCTCATATGAATTCATTTATTATCGTACTCAGCTTTTGCCTTTTTCACATCAAGCTGAACTATACTCTAATCCCATCACAAGACCGAACCAACAATGAATGTCTCCTACTAACAAAAACTGTGTATCAAAGCCCGATATATTTTATTCCTCTGTACCAAAGAGCTCCATTGTTGTCCAGAAAACTATTAAAACCACATTCATGATCCACACGGTTTCACTGGGTGACCATGAACACACACCAATTTATTTTCACACACTGTCCTGCTGCCACAAATGCTTACAAAATATGGATTCATCTGCCAAAAAAAAAAAAATAGTCCCCAAAAAATGCGCTATGTCCTGGTCCTGCAGTGACCAGCTGAATTGGGAAGCTGTTAATCCTTCATTTAAAAAGGAAAACACTAAATTTGTGCGTCACTTTTAAAGATTTAAATCTTTCAGTAGGAACCGATAATATGTTTGGAAATGAACACCAAGGACAGTGTGGGGAAATCAGAAACTACTGGGACATGGACACGTTTGTTGGTTTGGTCTTTTCATGGAGATTGGGTGACAGCAAAAAGTGATATAACACCAGCTTTAAGGCCCAATAAAAACCAAATGAATTAGTTCATTTCAGTGGAATTGCCACATTCACTGAATTAGCACAGCTGATTTGTGTTGCATTTAACTTTAATGAACTTTTTTTAAGCCTTTTTTTGACAGGACAATGTAGAAAGACAGGAAATGGAGAGACAGAGAGACGGGGAATGACATGCAGAGTCTACTGCTCCTCAAACACCAGAAACAACACATTTGGTTTTAATGTCCTATTACCCGCTGCCACTGCTGACAGATTACAGTTAAGTTTACTCTGGTTCATCAGGAAATACAAAGTGCGGGTAAAGTGACACCCTAATTACAGCCTGTTTACCATGAACACAAAGGGTGAACGGCGGTGCCAGAAACAGCCAACCCACCGACCGTCTGGCCAAAGTTGAAGGTCAGTGTGGTGGGGAACAGCGAGTGATAAAAGACTTTTGGCAAGAAAATGAGCCGGCGGTGAAGAGGAGTCAGAGATATACACTCTCTGCAGCAAATGTTGATATCTATGCCGTTTCAAGGTCTGAGTGAACTCCCTGTTTATTGTGTGACGTCAACTCATCAGAGTGGAACAATGTGGGAAGATTACACCACAACCACCATAACCGGTGTAACTGCAAATAAATGGCAGCTGCACACGAGTCACATTCAGAAAGAGGAGCTGTTTGCCTTCATTCATCACTGTTGACACTTACAGAGACATAAAATGTGATGTGTTGATACTGTCTGCACATCAGTCAGTCATCATGCACTGTTGATAGTGCAGATGTTACTCCCTCACCTGTTGAGTTTGAAGTCAGGGGAGAAGATGAGTTTTCCAGGATGGTCCACCGACCTCCACATCAGGCCCAACATCAGAATCTCCAGCCAGCAGCACTTCAGCAGGTGGATCTGGTCTGCTAGACACAGCTCTAAAAAGCCTGAGGACCAAGCACACAAGAGACATACTCCTTTTTAAAATCACTTTCTTTCCAGACACTTCATATGAACATTGTTGCTTAAGAAATATTTATACAAAAGGATGCTGATGTAGATCTCCTGTGTTTGGAGCACTGTTTGTAGCGTCATGTAGTCACACTGCAAAGAAAAGTTACTACAGACAACGAGAAAAATGCACAGCTGCTTTGGGAAGGCTTGACAGATACTCACTTAGTAATAAAATGTACAACTAAAACTTCAGAGCAGATTTCCAGCTGCTCTCATCAGGACTCTGTGATTCTGTCTGTGGCTGAGGTGTTTCAGTAACACAGGTGAAGCTAATGAGCCACATGACACTGTCACATGACAAACACCTGATTCTCAACTTTCCCCCTTCTGATTATGCCTGAATGATTAAAGCCCACCTTTCCCCAAGTCAACAGTGCGAGGTGATAATACACCATTAATCATTTTAGAGCAATACTCAACATTAAGACAGACAGTAGATTAAACAGTAAATTAAATAAAAATGCCACAATCTCAAAATGCACAACTACAGTGGTGAAGACTGAATAGCAGCTATGTATTTAGCTTGACAGCGCTGTTCTCATCTGTCCATGCTTTTTTTTTTTTTTTAGGTCTTTTATAATACAGACTGCACACTCATTTTCACTTCTGTCTGAGTAAGAAAAAAAAAATCAGGGAAAATGGTCTTTATACAGAAAAGTGGGAGTCTTTGTGTGATCCCTTCACATTAACACCTCTCCTGAGAAGTCACCTGCCGGGCTGAGAGGAGAGGAGAGGAGAGGAGAGGAGAGGAGAGGAGAGAAGGATTTGATGGAAAAGTAGGGAAAAACAGGGTGAAGACTGAAATAAAGAAAGCCACAAATTTTACACATTTAAACATAACCAGATATTTTACAGATTGTTTTCCCTCCGTCCATCCATTCACTCTTTGTCTCATCTGTGTGTTTCATGCGCCATAACCCACGACATCTCAGACATGACAGACATGAATGATGGGTAGAAGATGTGTTTACTGTAGCCTCTGGTCTGTTTTTACCCTCAGTACTTCTTCCCTGGTTTCCACACACAGTCACTGCTTCCACTGACCTACAATCATCACCAGTGAACACATGGCCCTAATGTTTACCCTGACCTTAACCTTGGATATGGCTTTTTTCCAAAGTGTTACCATTCTTATTTGGTTACATGTAAACGGGACAGTGATTAAAAGTTCCCAAGTGGAGTCCAATTCTATCGAGATCATATTACTACTACTACGATTATATTACTAAAACGGGAGCAGGAGATATGGATGAAGACAGACTTGCATAATTGTCCTGTATCGTGTTTCTCCATGTTCTCATTGCATAATGGTTTGAGTATGGAGACTATAATAAATAATAATAAACAAACAATAATAAAGTTTTTTGCATTTTTCATTCACAGTTGCTCATTCACAATTTTATTTTTTAATCCAACATCATGTTTGGCCTTAATGTATTTCCATATTCGAGAACCTTAAGACACAGAGGTTACAACAAAACTGTGCTCAAGAAAATAAATATCACAGTTATACTTATTACATTTCATTTTCAGGATACTTGAGTCAAGTAAATGGCCTTTCATATCAAATTGTTCTGAGGTTATATTTGGTGAAAAAAGCCTCCATTCATCACAAGGCCGGACTTGACAGTTCTGATCTTACCTGGAATCTTTTTAGCCCAGCTGATCATGAGGACCAGTTCCTTGTCTGCCAGGTTGGTGAGGGACATCATCATGCTGGTCTCGGTGAAGGGCTTCTTCATGTCCTCCATGAGGTAGATCTCTGGAGGCTCTGCCTCCATGATGCGAGAGATGAACTCCTCTGGGCTCATGGCCGTGTGGTGTGCGTGGTTCCCCTGAGAGAGGGGGGCAAATGGGGCGAGAGGTGCCTCCAGGTGGAGATGCCGCTGAGCTCGAGGACCATGCCCCACCCTCACCAATCCCCTGCCCATTGGATCCCGAGAGTGAATTCCACCGCGACGATGTCGAGCTCCTCGGTAGCTGCAGCGTTCACGTCTCATACCTGGAAACAGACGGACAACAGTCTGTCACATGACCTGTGATGTCCCTGGTTTCATGTGTTCTAAACAGAAAACAAACTGTACCACAAAACACTGACAAGGAGTAGCTTTAAAACAAATATAAAAATCTGCACTCTTTCAGTTTAATTTTAAAACTTAGACCCAGTGGAAACTCCCCGAGTTTTAGCAGCAGGGTCTATATCTCTGAACAGGTCTTCTGGTCGCTGGTTTGGATGCCTTCGCTAGAGCAAAGGCATTTAGAAGCACAAAGATCATCACTATCAACTCACTCTCAGTTTGCATTGCCTGAAGCAATAATGACTAGAATGCCTGTAGTATATATTAGTGAAGAGGAGGTACCGTCCTTTACCTTTCCATTTTCTGTGCTTGAACTTTTGTGTTCCTGTGAGATAACTAAACATCGAGGACCCCTATCATAATAAAAAATACGACAAGTGAGTGCCTACCACATTTCATCATGCCCACTTCGTAGCATTTACGTAGGCGGCAGGCCTGGCAGCTTTTACGTCGGTTCTTGTCGATAGTGCACTGATTTGTGGCGGGGCAGATGTAGTCATTGTGTCCTGATAAAAAAAAAAATGTAAAAAATAAATTATTTTGAAGGATGTGGAGAAGGAGGAAACTGTGAATAGATACGGACAAAGAAGTTCATACCTTGGATACTCCTCTTGAAAAAGGCCTTGCAGCCCTCGCAGGACCACACGCCATAGTGGTACCCCGAGGCGTAGTCATGGCACACGGCGCAGAAGTGCATGTCGGCTTTGCCTAGTGTGGATGAACACGAGGAAGAGTTCACTCGTTCCATTCCTTCCTCTGATCTCTTCCCCAGCAGCTTGTTACAGCTGATGATGGAGCTGCGAGAAGAAACACAGACGAGGGACAACTTGACATTTGGGATTTTAGCCTGTCATTCACCTGCCATTAGTCCTTCAACAGGTGCTGTGTCGCTGAAAATGTCTCCACAACCGCATTTCAGTCAACAGGAAATTGCATCAGAAACCTGACAGCATTCATCATTGAAACATAATGGGTATAGAAATCTCAAACATCCATGGCTGGTGTCTTTACGGCCATCAAGCTGGTAGCACAGGTAATCACTTAATATACAGTGTAATAACAGAAAATAGATATCACTCAAAGAGTGTTGTAATGTGAGAGTTTGTTGCGAGTTTCTTTGGATGAGAAGTCGGCTTGGGCAATATCTAAAATTGAATATCTTGATAGAGGCTGGCCCAAAAAAAGTTATTTAAATCAATATTATGCAAAATATAACATATGGCGTAAAAACGTCAGTATCTGCCAAAGCCCAATGAAAGAATGTACTAAAATTCCATTATTCCAATTTCCACTAATGTTGACATGGTATTATTTTAGCACTTGATATAGAAGAAATTCATTTACAGGTAGATGTTAGTGCATCACAATGCAACTTGTGGACGCTACAAGTGATTCAAAATGAGTTTAAATCTCTTTTTTAGTTGTTATTATGTTTTGTTTATTTGATGCATGACTATTTTGTGTTGCAGTGGATAAACTCATATTATACATATTTCTTTACCTAAAGGGAGTGTGGAACATAACCGGAAGCCCAATTGCATGTTTATCCCTTTTTATTTTAGTCTTTTTATTTTGCGATAGATAATAATGTTTGGGTGTATGGGGAGGTAAACTCTGGTTGAAAATTATTTTAAACAGATTGTTTCAGTCAAAAAAAACAAAAAAAAAATAAGCAGGGTTACGTATGACTGAGAGTTCAAAAGTACAACAGGATGTTTTCAGTTTCTGAGAATTATTCCCCAAAGCTCTATTCAGCTAAACTAGGCCAGTTGAGCTTCAGTAGCACCCATTAGCACAGTAAATAACCCTTCTAGGTAACACTTCTGTACTACTTCCATCCATGGCTCAGTGTCAGTAATCCCACCTGCCGGCGGTGATGCCGTGGGGCTTGGGCTCCAACCATGGCGCATGTGGGTTGGGTTCGTTGTAGACGAGAGGCTGAGTGCAGCGCAGAGTCAGTGAAGGCACGTTGGTGTGACTGTGGGAGGCCCAAAAGGCAGAGGGGCTGAGGGGGGGGCACGGAGGTGACTGGTTGTCAGCGATGGGCTGTCTAGTGTAGCTCAGCACAGGCGGGCTGTAGAAAGTCAGAGGTCCGTGTCCGTACTCGTGGCTACTGTCTGTGTACAGAGAGGGGATGCAGACGGTGTGGTTGTCCATGCCCAGCGGGGGGCTGTACACAGTGGGCAGGAGTCCCGGGGAGCTCGGCCTCTCTGAGGTTTTACTAGAGTCCACCTCCTGGAGCTGAAGCAGTGGTAGTGGATCAGCATCCAGCTAGGGGAGGAGGCCATGTCAGGGGTGGGTGGGGTGGGGGGGTGTGGTGGGGGGTGGGGGTGTTTACTGTGTGTTGAAAGTGATGATAAATATGATGCTGCAGCCAGTTCCTCTATTGCAGGTTCAACTGCAGACGAGTCCTGTAGCAGAGGGAGACAAGCATTGTGTTAAATTATTGCAAATAAAGTCACGTCACAGAAACCACTGAGTTACCACTCAACACTGATCTGGTGCTTTGAAGGTCAAAGAAACATCTTGGTTTATTTAAAAATTTACAAAGTTTTTCAAAATATGAAATCATAAAACAAAGATGTCAGGACCTCTTATTTTTCTTGCACAGGAGCTGCCGCCTCGTACTGCACTACGTCACTTCATCTAATTCACTTCACTGTTTGAGAATGTCAGATTCTCTTTTTCAGTAACTGTGAAGGCAAAACATTTTCTTCAGCTCCATTTGAAGAGCTTCATCAAAAGTGATACTTCAGCTGTCTTAAAGAAAAGTTACAGCAGAAAATTAGAGTCAAAATTTGATGAAAAAACACTTAGTGAAATTAGAGTTACTGAGATATTTGTAACAATAACAAGCTGCATCATTTCTAGGAAGATTATCTATTCACTTTCGGTTAAAAACAGATAAGTCCTTTTTTTTTTTTTAATTGTTTTGCCTTAATTTCGTCTAGACTGCACCAGACTGTCCGCCAGTGTTGAGCTGTTGTGACTCAGTGCCGTTCGTTGGGAGTTAACAGGAATTGTCAACCAGCAGTGTTGCTATAATTCAAGGACGCTCGAGAAACCACATGAAAAACACAAGATAATGGGATTTTTATTGAGTGAATCACAGTCAAGAGGACAAAATGAAATCCTAGGGCTGCACGTGTGGATCTGAGAAAAAGGAGCTTTAACAAACCGTGCGGGAACTATTCCAGGCACATTTCTAGGAACTCAGGAGTCCCAAAAATCTCAGGGTAGTGTGGTGTTTGAAGCACTGCATGATGCTGATGGATCAAACACAAGCCATACAACTGCTAAAAGTCACGCAAATGTTCATTCATGCTGTGAGAAAGCAGTTGCCTGTAGTAGCAACATTAGGACTGTATATGGATGTGATTTCTTAGAATGTTTACACAATGTTTTTCAGTTGACTTCTCCACTACTCAACAACTCTAAGGGGGTGAAATAAAAACCTAACCTTTATTTGCTCATTGTGTCAATGAAGTTCTGCACTAACGCAGAAAAGTAACCAGAAAACAGTCAGTGGATATGTGTTCAGTCCTCCGTTCTACCCCTACGTGAGTCTTTTCCAACGTCCATTCAAACTTCAAAATCCCACAGCAGCAAAACGACAAAGAACTGAATGATGGGCCTCCCCCTCCCCCTCCTCCCATTGTAGCTGTGGATCATTGTGGCTTTATTTGACGTCCAACTTCATATCAAATCATTCCCTCTTAAATTTTGGTCACGGTGCAGAGCTGCTCTAACGACACAGCAGCGGTATCAATGTTTTTTAATTGCAATATTTGTTATGTTTTTGGCTGCTGATGTGAATGAAACTTGGCCACAAATGGAGCATGAATAAATATCATGGACGTGCAAACTCCACATAAGTCGATTCACAAGGCTGACACGAGCGATTTAAAAAGGTTTTGAAGAATCCAACTTAAAAATACTCGGACGATCAAAACTCACACAATAAAAGTGCGAGATATCCGAGAGGAACATGAAATATTTTTGCATCGGGCCCATTATGTTGTGCTACTAGATGCAAAGAAATAACTATGCATCAAAAAAAGGTTGCTGCTTCCTGTAATCACCCAGCAGTCACTAATGTCTTTCTGACTTTACATTGATGTCCGGACTATAACGACTCCAACAGACGTTACATTTTGGTTGGAAATGAAAATCAGTTTGATGTCAAAACCCAACGTTGGCTGAGTGACATTGTGACATTTAGGAGACATTGGGTTTAGCTCACGACTAAAGTATCTATAAAGTATTTACATATAAGTATTTTACATGTCAAGATGGCGTTGGCATGAGGCGTTTGGAAGACGTTGGATTATTGTCCCTTCACAACAAAATTTAAACCAACAAAATATCAACAACATCGCAACCTACGTTCAACAATATAACATCTAACAATGTTGGTGGCCAGCTGTGTGCCCGCAGCGCAGTCTAACATCATCATATCTGATCATCACGGTTTTACAGCTGAAAATGAACAAAAAGGGGCTTTTAGTTTGTGAATTAGTTCCTCAGTTTAGTTTCTGGGGCTCCTGAAGGCCTGAACTTACATAAGAGGCATTTCAGTTTTAATAATTCACTGAAAGTGCAAGCTTCTGCTAAATATCAGATTTAACCTAAGGTGTGCTGCAGTATGCCGTGTGGACAAATGTACCTTTTCTCTGTCACAGACTGAGTTAAATGAGCCAGGTGATTGAACAGCTCACCTACTGTGTCAAAGGTGAAGAGAACACCTCTGTATTTATTATGAACATTTGCTCCAGAGACAGAATATAAAAGCACAAAATGATTGGCCTGTTTGACCTTACAGCTCAAAAAAATACTTTAACCAGACTGTGCTACAGAGGCTGTCAGCTGGTTAATCAGTGCCTGAATCCACAGTGAACCTCAGACACCACCAATCACACCATATACACGTGGGCTGTCTGGATGTCTTTTTGGAGATGTTTGTCTTCACTTTAACATCCACTTCACTGATATCTTTATCACACAAAACATGACAACAACCTCTACTACCTTGTGTGATGTGGACCTAGAGGAAGTAATGACAGCAGTTTGAAAGATGAGATACTGATACTGAAGTTCATCGCTGTTGTGAATTGATGACAGATTGACAGGAGACGCCATGGCAAACAGCTGGAAGGTCAATCATTTCAACAATCGATGTGCATTTCAGACAGGTCAGGTCAAAGTGGCCTTGTTCAAAACAATGCACCCTTCCCTGTTCACTGTGTGTACCATCACTGCTGTGTCCTGATTTAGGGAATCGACCCTTCAAAGTCGTCACAGGTGTGGTACATTTTCCATTAACCTGTTAAAGTATTTGTCACTTGTCCATCATGCACTGATGTTTACCTGATGCAACACCTTGTACGGTAAACTCAGGTATCATGCAACACCAGTTTCTATTTTGAGGTTGCTAGTGATGAACTTGTGACTTTACAAGTTGATCAGCAACACCCGAACGCACCACTAGTTTTGTTCTCAGTGAGCTACACCTTAGCTGTTTTATTTTGACATTTCAAACCAGTGAGTCTGGTTCGCAGGATTTGGATAAGTTTGATAAACCCAGTGTAGATGACCTGAGAAAAGACTTGTACTTAGACTTACGGACACGGGATGAACACGACTCTGATGGGACGATAATGCTGCTAAATAGGCAACTGTTTCCTACACATAAGCCATATAACTTTATAAAGCATGTGTCAGCTTGTTGTGGAGTTCTTCTGCCCCCTAGTGGCCCAAAAAAATCCAGCTTCATATTACCGCTCGATAACCTTCCAACCCTAGAGTCAATTAAAGCTCCCCTCTAGGCACGTTTTAAAGTGTGTAAAAATACTATGATTAATATTTTGTTTAACATGGTCTTCCTACATGAAAAGTAAAAAAAAAAAAAAAAAATACAAAATATTCAGAAATGAGGCCTTAACACATCCACTTCCTCACCAAGAAATTCTGGATCAGGCTTTGTGCCCCGCCCCACCACCGTCTGCTTGTTCCAGTTTGACAGGTGACAGAGCAGAGGGTATTAAGATGGTCAAAGGAGGAAACACCAGAGAGACTCAGCCACATGTCTGAGCCTCAGTCAGACCCCGACTCAGATGAGGAGCCGGAGGTTTCCTTTGCCCCACCACACCCTATCCCATAAGGTTGACAGGATTAGTTCCTTAGGTTTGTGATGTTTTTTTGTTTGTTTGTTTTTTAAGACTGTCATATATTTCAATAACCTCAGGAAGATGAATGTCTTAGAACTTTATACAGTATTAGTATATAGTATTTGTTAGTTTGCGTTAAGGATTAGGGTTTGGGTTAAATCAGTGGTTCCCAACCTGTGGGTTGTAGCCTCCTGGTGGGCACGCGAAGGTATTGCACGTGGACCAACAAATCATTTGCAACAGTAACAGTACAATGAAAAATGTAATTACACAAAAATAAAAATATGACTAATGTTTTTAAATGTTTTAAAATGAAATGATCTTACATTTAAAACTTCTTTTATTGTTTTTTTTTCTTTTTTCCTGCTATTAAGACGTTCCTGTCACTCGGATGAGCCAATGACAGGAACTTTTGTGTTGTCATCAGCTGGACCACTTTTCCACTGGGCCACATTGCATACTTGTTTGACATCTCAGTCTAATCCATGGCAAAAACTGAGTATCAAAATGGATAGCTGATTAGCAACAGGAAGAATTAAAAAGGAGAGAGGGTCAAGAGAAAGACGGCGACTCAACAAGTGACCTCCCTTTGCTGCTTTCAAGAATGTATTATTTGGCCTCCATATTGTTCTGTGGTTGGATGTGGGCCTCCAAACTTTCTGAGATTTTCAAGTGGGCCATGAGTTGGAAAAGGGTTCAAATTAAGTTATTTAGTTAATTAATCTAAACAGAATTTTGCACTTCAGATTTGATGTTTTAAATGGATTTGGCATCAAATCCAGTCGAGCTCTAAAGACTGTCTACTCAGCGAACTAGCGTAACACCACAAACACCACAAATCAGGCAAGAATATTTTGTTGCTACTCATAAGGTCTAGATTAATCTGCGGTAGTGAGTGACTGTGGATAAGGACGCCACATACATCCACTTATATGCAAAATGAAAATGTTAGTGTGTTCATGAAAATCAAACTGTGAGGGCTAAACACAACCAAGTCAAGGTTTATAAAACAAACAGCTACACAGCAGCAGAGGTGGCTGTTACACGGAAAATTCGGGAAATTCGACTGTCATGAAGAATTAACACAAGATGCACAGTACTAGAAATAAC